ATATACATTTGAGACACACAATTGAATATTTTCTAATTTAATTATTGCACTAACCGTCCGTCGTAGATTTTGAAAAATGACGCAAGGTGTAAATCGGCTTGCATGGCGGTTATGCTTCGAATTCATTAGGCTAAGGAATCTATTTCGAAGGGAATATTTTGTGAAGGGCTAATTGTGATCAGTAATAGTGAACAGATTGTTGTCTGGGAATATTTTTATACGTGAAAATTGATAATCAATGCTGAAAAGATACAAGAAACACGTCCAAAGTTTGATGATAAAAAGATGGAGGAATTTCGGTCGCCGGAAAGGGATGGATGGATCCGATGGATTGAGACACTTGGCCGAGCCAGTTAATTTGCAATTTGATCAAAAACATTCTACGATTTCAGTAACTAAAGGCATACTTATCGTAAAACGCTGATAAACACGGAGACACTGGCGACAGCTTTACATTAAACTACGAAAACGCCGAGGTGTTTGGCAGCTGTTCATGGCATGATTGCAGTAATATTTTCCAACAGATTTACACATTTATCGTGAGTAGAATTTAAAGATAAAATAATAGTTTATCATGAAAATTTAACGAAAGGTCTACCAAAAAAATAAGGATGAACGTTAGAGACTGTGCAGCCGACAAAAGTGAAAAATAATGTAAACAAACGCTAGGGGTTTTTCGCTATATACACAGGTTGAATCGATAGCTAATAAACCGTATGAAATACTTGTTTACAATGTAAATAAAATAATCATCATATTATAGGCTTTTCAACTGCCACTAGGGGTCGGTGTTATGAACGATAACTCACTGCTGAAACTTGTTTAGAGCAGGCTCGGGGTATCTAACTGTTTACACGCAAGGCAGTTTTTAGCATTTCCCAAGTGTTTCTTTGCTCTCAGTAGAATCTAGTGGTTTTAAAATTTAGCACTAATGTTAAACTTATTTACTGTATAGTTGCGGTTACAGGTTTACTGTATATAATTAATTTTTTTAATTAAAATAAAAAGTGAAATCTACCCTCCTTCTTAGTTCTAAACTAATTAATTTTTTATACTCGGTCGTTCCCCTTCGTGCTTAGTGACACAAATAAGATGATCAATTGTTGCATTTACTTGTAAAAATATATTTATTTATATAGGAAGCGAAAACGCGCGAAAACAAAAAAACATGACATTTAATTTTCTTCTTCATAATAATCGTCAAAGAGAGTTAAAACTATTGAATATAGTCTGCTCCCCATTCATTTTACCCTGTTATTTCAGGTAGAGTGAAAGCATTCTCTTTCTCCTGGTCAAAACTTTTTGTGTACAAAACAATGTAAGGAACCCTTTTGTGTATATAACAATACCAATGTTGAAGCAGCCTATATGTCATTCCTATAAACGATAACTCATAAATCGGCACTAAGTTGGTCATTTTTCACACCTGAGTTACCTGTCCTTAAACACAACATCGGAAAAGTCAATTATAAATGATTAGACTTTTTAATGATGTAATTAAAAGTATGCATAAGTTATTATCTTTTTTGATAATTTCAAGTACCTATAAATTTATCTATACAATGTTTTTTACCATATGTGCAACTTCAAAAATTAGTTGAAAGGCCTACATATTACTCGCTTGTTTTGTTCATTTTTATACATTAAAAGCAAGTAGAGCAGGTCATTTTGTAATTTATGTACCGGTAGATATTATTGCGCCGTGTGATTAGGTCACGTATTGACCTCTGACCTCTGACAAACTTCATACAGAATTGAAGATATTTTCTCTCTGTATGTTTATATAATGGAGAGATACCACAAATGTATATATTAAAAGATAATATTTTTCTGGTATTTAAAAAAGAAATAATTGCGTATCCTAAATATACCACCGTATTAAAGTATTATTTTTATTTTTTTTTTTTTTTTGGGGGGGGGGGTATTTTTGCCGAACCAAATTCTAAAAGTTTGTTTGGACGTCTTTTCGCCAAAACTGCACAAATATTATCAATGGGGGATTCCAGTCTCTTCCTTCTAATACTAACATCAGAGTACTCGTGTGTAGAATCAGAGTGGTTTTCTTCGAAATTCAGACATTGGTAATAGATAAATGTAACAGAGTTAGTTTCAAATTGATGATTATGCATGAAATATTTAAGAATCTCCTCTGGAAAAGGAGAATGCATTTTTAAAAATATTTCATTATTTTTCTTCTCCATCATGCAAGTATTATTACATCAATGGCTTTACTGCATTTTGGTATTTAATCATATGTAAAGATAAAAAAGAAATTTTCATTTAAAATTTTCTATTTATTTGAATCAAACTTAAATTATTTTTATTACATGTAGGAGGGTTGATCCAAAAGTAATGTCACAACTTTCATTAAGTTGCTACAAATCGACGTAAAGTAACAATATTATATATTCATGATAAAAGCTTTATTTATTTCAAATCAGACCTGAAAAATTCAAAGGAATATCATGATGTATACCTTTCAAAATATCGGATTTTAAATATAACGGATATACGCCGTCACACTTTTAACCGTTTTCCCTTCGTTTCATTAAAAATATTTGTGATTCGCAAACACTTTCACCAATTCCACTTTCTTTTAGAATTCTTGTTACCATTATACACTTACATTTTTCATAATTAAGACTCTGTCACAATTTTTTGAACAGTAGCTTAAGACAAACTTAAAAATTCAAGTCACTCTATGCGTCTGCCTGTTTTGACAACGTCAGACACTATTGAATTTTTCCGTCCGATCTCCTATCTTACGGTCTTTTTGTCCTCTGCTAAACATTCTGAGACCAATCACCCGCCCAAAATTGCTGGAACCATCTTTTAAAATGTCTCTAATTTACATTCTTTATTCTGAAAGTCTGATTGATTAATGAAAATGTTGCTTGTGACGATTCCCATATTTTGAAGCAAAAATGCATTACAACTCGTCGAGCCTTTTCTCCCCATTTCGACAATCCCTTTGTTAAATTCAACAGAGTAAAACAACAATGTTTATAATCACAAAAACCAATGCAATCATTTAATTGTCAATTAAAGACTAGAAAATAATGATAATTGTGTCTTTAAATACATTGGGAGATTAGGTAATTTTTTAGAATCTTTTGATGTGTTTGTCTTTTTTTCATTCTGGGAAAAAATACACTTTAAAACGTGACGTTCCATTGTGACGCGGCTACACCCTCTATGCTCTATGTTTTAAACAACTATAAAATAAATTGAAATAAACATCATGAAATGAAAATTTCAATGTTAATTAGATTTTTACTTTTAACATGATGCCCGTGTCATAAATTGATATCTCCTATGTAGAATACATATAAGTCTTTTGTACATGCGTCAAAATAGCACATGGGCTTATTCTCTCCTGTCTGTATTTTGTTGATAATAGAGAAAGGATCTTGGGTAGAAGGCAACCTTTTTTCAATGCCATTTTTTCAGTAGCAATATTTTATACTACATTTTCCTTATATCACAAACAATTTGGGGGCCAACCAGCCTTTCAACGATTTCCTGTAATGTTACGGAAAGAAGTCGGGTGGGCCCCTGTAGCTACGTGCCTGAATGCTCATTCAAATAAGATTTTTGGGAGGTCGTGAGTTCGCATCTCGGCCGCGACCGACCTAGTCGTTAAAATGGGTAGCAACTGTTCCTTCGCCATGCGCTCGGCACTTTGAAGTGAAAGTTGCGGGTCCTTCGGATGAGACCTTAAAAACCGAGGCCCCGTGTCAGCGGCAGGCGCTGGCACGATAAAGATCCATCACTGCTCAATGGCCCTTAGTGCCGAGTAAAGGTCAAAATTTGAATCCCTTCACCGGCATACGGTGACGTCTCCATATGAGTTAAAAGTTCTCGAGAGGGACGTTAAACAATATACAATCAATCAATCAATCAAATAAGATTTTGATTCTAACTTGCTTCCCAGTATCCATTCTATTAAATAATGTTTGTTCTCATGTTCAAGTTGGGCCGGGTCTCTTACAAAGATTAAATCGATATTTAAAAAAAAACAACTGGTATTCATTTGATAGAATTAAAAAAAAAAATGAAAATTTTTGGGTACAAGTTAAATGAATGATTCGATATTTTTTCGTTTGAATTCATGGATATTATTTTATTCATCAAAATCTTTAAAGCTCAGTTTAATTTACATCATTTTTCTCAACTCCTTTTCATGAGCACATTATTATTTTATTTTACAAAGAATAGAGACCTACAATGATGTCTGAGTATCAAAAACTCTCAGAATAAAAACACGAGGTCTCCTTCCTTAACATACCCATTGGTAATATGAATTGATAAGAGACAATAAATAAGATTAACAATATCTAAAATTCATAAATTATATTCTAAAAACATTTGTTGTGCAATATCTAATGACATGTTTGATTTTCGTATTTCTTTTACCTAATGCTATAGACCAAGTAAAGTCTTTTGTTCAAGCTTATTGCTTACACAGATTATTGACCTTTATATCCAGGTAACTCTTGAAAGGAATTTATCTGAATCACTTTCCTTTGATTAACTCATTCAAATTTTAGTTTTGAGGTTTTCGTAAACACATGTCCTTTAAATTGCTTGAAATTCATGATTAATGTGTGTGAGAGGATGAGGGTGTGTCTATGTGGGGTGGGGTGGGGTTGTTTGTGTGATTGTGATTTAATTGTATGTTGAGACAAGATAAGAAATATAACAAAATATTCAGGTAGATAATGTAAAAGACGTTAACAGGTATACCAATAATCAGTATACTTGCATCATAAATAAAGTACGAGATAAGAAGATGTTTACATTGCTTTATGGTAACAAAAAAGTAAATAATCTTTTGAAAAAGTTAAACGTAGTAACCTATATATAGGTCGCTCCCCTTTTTCAATATGCCATTAGAGAATTTCGAAATACCATATCCCCCAATGACGACAAACAAAGGGTCTTTCCTGACATGTCCGGTGTGTTGAAATGAACTGATAAGGGAGAACCGATTTATTCCCTCACAACCATATCATTTGTAACAGGTTCCGGTCACTGTGAACAACATGGCGGATAGATTTTATTTTCTTCTCGTTGGAATTATTTTGCAGATTTCTCTTGTACTTGGTAGGTAGTAATGTAACATAGATTATTCCTTTTTAAATTTTATTCCTCTGCACCACGCACGTTTAAAGATATGATAAATATTTGATAACTTTGTATATGAAAACCGATCAATTTTTTTTTATCCGTCTTTTAGTTATAGTCAGAAAGTGGGGAAAGGGTTCAATAATGTTTAAGTTGCATTTTCCTCTGATTGATTGCAGGTAAAAGTAACTGCATGCATTCATTGGTAGATTTCTTCATAAATGCCTCTTTTCATGGAAAAATAAATTTAAATTAGTTAACAGCTATTACCCGATTTAATTAATCAATTTAAAGGTGGAAAATATTGAATGTTAAGAAGGGAGGTCAACATTGCCGCTACATTGCCAAAAATTTTAACTCATTTCCGCTACATTTTGTCAGATTTTCGACCGATCATTACCGCTACATTTTTCCGGCAAAAAACAATTCATTACCGCTACATACTGAATCAGCCCAAAACAACTAATTAATTACCGCTACATATCGATTTAGCCAGGTGTAGTTCGGTTTACATGAGTTCTAATCAACAGAATTCACTCACTATCTAATTAGAATGAGTACATATATATAAATAACTGCAGTAGGAATTTATTTATTTAGCGTCATCTGAACATTATGGTCACTTTTGAGAAGTTTTTACAAATCGAGGGAATGCCGATAAACTTATCGATTTTTTATAAAAAAAAAAAATAAGACTTTCAAAAACTCAAAATTGTGGAGATGTGTTGAAAAGAGTTGCAAAAGCAGCTGCAAAATAGACCTCGACAAATTACTTGTTGATTTTAATTAAAAAAAAAAACCCATCCTGTTCAAAGTCCTACTTTCACCTTCCCGTGGTGAGCAGGAGGAACGGGTCTTATGCATGCACATGTATAGGTTGTACTGTACATTCATAAGTGGCTGGCTAACGAAAGAGGCAATGTAGCGGTAATGTATACTTTTTTTTGTAGCGGTAACGTAAGGTTTTTGTAGCGGTAACGACTATGTAGCGGTAATGAAATATTTGAAAATGTAGCGGTAATGATACGCACCCGTTAAGAAACTCCTATCCTAAGGTCGGGTAATTGAAAATTTTCACAAAAATGTCCATGAATTCTCAAAACAATATGTATTTACCTATGATATAGTAAAAATTATCAAACCTCAAATATATTTAAAGAAAATGCGAATCAAAGTACCTGCTATACAAATTTCTAATTGAAATTTGGCCAATAGAAATATTTTACAATTAAAAATTATAAGTATTCCGGCATTAATTGCATGTTTTCATAGAATTCGATAATTTGATTTCTCTTTCTAATTCAACTGATAATATAAAATATATATAAATATAGTTATATGACATCACAGACCACTTCTGTTAGCATCACCATGCTTAAAAAAATGATATCAAAGATAAGATTAAAGGAAATTCGATTTTTATTTTAAAAAAATATCTTAAATTTATTATACCATTTTTATTTTGTACTTCAAAAGAGGGGTGTACGAATGTCAAATTAATTTTTACATGACCTTTTCTTAGATTTCAAGATTATTTTGATACTTTTAAATTAAACGACTACTTTAAGAATTATCCATCCTGGCTGATGAGTTGATGTCCTTAATTTGAAATTCTATAATTTATCAAGCTGACACCGGCATAAAATGGGACAAACAATAAAACTTTCAAGCTGTACGAACATTTACGTTTAATATTTATACGTACCGGAATACATGTATGTGTATCCAGTAAACGTTATTTGCAAGTCGAAATATTTGCGAATCTAAGAAGACAACAAGTTCTTTTGATATCTGTTCAAACTAGGCGCTTGAACAAAATACAAAAATGTCTTTGTGGGGCACTGATGCTCCTGTATGGCAGGTTTACGGTGAGTGTTGGTCTCTCAATTGCACGTCAAACTGACAAGTCAAGGTCAAAATGTCAACATTGTTGGTATCCGAAGGAAAGTCTAGTCACAAGGAATGTGTCTGTGAAATACTATAGTATTAAAAACAGTACTAACGGTTTAGGAATTTAGGTTTTTTAAATAGTTTGTCAAACTCTAATGTCAAGGACAAATATCTTAAGGTAAGTCCGTACTTTCAGAATAGAATTTTCTGTCAAACTGTTTATTTTTTATTTGAATATCTTGAAAAAGTCAGAATCTAACTAAAACACCCATAAAAACCATATATTTGCAGGTTAATTTTCATGCAACATGTCTCGGAGTAAGTACCTCTGAAAATACAACAGCCAAAATTCAACATAAAGAAGTGTGACATCATATTTTATTTAGCTATGTACCAAATCACATAAATTTAATGTTAAAACTTTTGAAAATCAAAAATATTCATTTGCTAAGAGAATATTTGAAATTTTTTTATTGGAAAACACTAACATATTAATGATGATTCTGTCAAAATCTTTCAGAGAAAAACCTTAAAATAGCTTTATTTTGAATATTTCTCAAAATCTTATATGTTTTTATGCTATTGATTCTTAACCATTATTTAGAATTATATCTTAAGTTAGCAGAAACACATACTTTATGATGGTTGACCAGGAAAATTTTACAAATCAGCCTTTTGAACATCTATACCCCCATTTTTGGAATATCTATTTTTTCAATTGTTCGCAAAATTTTAAAAATGTAAATTTAAAAAGATGATATAGGCTTAGAATTAAAAATAAAATAGATCTAAAGTTAGTTTGATTAAAAAAAAATTGAAAGGTTTAGGTCCATAAAAGCAATTGAGGATTCTGTGCCTGTGTATGTACTAAATTACATAAAGATCCCATGGAAAGAGTGAAAAGGGGTTATTCCTAAAAAAATGAAACTTAAATACATTGAGTGCACAAAAATACTATAATAAACAAATATATACTTGCTAAATTATTTTCAATCATCCAATAAATTTTATTTCTATAGACAAACGATAATAAAAATTTTATATTGGGGTATAGAATTAAAACCGGATCCGTAAAAGAGTGGACCTGCCTAAATACCAATTGAAAGGTCTTGTCACAGTGAAAACACATGCGAAGTATGAAAGGCCTAGAACCAAATGTTCAAAACTAATGGCCAAGGATCAAGTTCGGAAAATATTGGTGAAAAAATCTGTAGGTTGAACGTAGAAGTGAAGGTAACGAGGTCAAATTTTGTGATACCCAAAGAAAACACACATACAAAATATACACGCGTGAAATATGAAAGCTATAGCCCCACCATATCAAATGTTAGGACAATTGTTAACGTATTTGCGGACAAACCGAAGGACAGCTCGACAGAGAGACAGACAGACAGACTTGGCAAAAACTATATATCCCTGAATACGGGATATATCAATATTTTCACACCCGTCATGAGTGATTTTTCATTGTTTACGTAGATGGAGTTACATATCTTTAGTTAATTCAGTATGAAAACAAAAACCTAACGATTTGTATGAAGCTAATAAAAAGCGGCCTAAAACAACTAAATCATTATGATATACATGTATTTGCTTACAAAGTCATTATAAAGACAATAAAATTTTTGAAATCGATGCTCACTTTAACAAGGCTGGTGGAATCCCTATAATATCTCTATTCTGTGGATGACCTTCCTTGCTTTAAAAATAGACATAAACACCATAGCCAAGTGAAAGTGGAATTTTACTATAACTAAAAAAATGATGATAAAAGACAAATGCAAGCTTTATTTATAAAACGTATTAATCAGATTCTCAAAATGTTGTTGAAGAAGCATATCTTATACAGCACAATCCTATTTCAAATCAAGCTGCGTTTATCTCTAATTTTTCTTGGGAAAACATGATGCTACTCCAGTTCTATATCTTTAATATATATTTTTTAAATTTGAATTTGATATTTTAAGTAGGCAGTTACAACATTTAGAATCTAAAATTGAATGATGCCATCAGATGTTTTCAAGCTTGAATGATGCTATCAAAATTCTATGTTTATTTTCAAGAAAAAAAGTTTAAAGTTTACCATTGAAAGAGCTACTAACCAAAAAGTAGAACATGTGTCACCAAGCACCTTTAATTTTTATTCCAGGTTACCAGGCATGTTACTCGGATAGTCAGTGTCCTCTCTCTAACTACCACTGCTGTACGGGTTCTATTTACTGCTGCCCCTGGGGGTCAGTATGTACCGGTACCATCAACTGCATCAGCATAGGGTAAGTCTGTACCGGTACCATTAATTGCATCAGCATAAGGTAAGTCTGTACCGGGACCATTAACTGAATCAGCATAGGGTAAGTCTGTACCGGTACCATTAATTGCATCAACATAAGGTAAGTCTGTACCGGGACCATTAACTGAATCAGCATAGGGTAAGTCTGTACCGGTACCATTTACTGCATCAGCATAGGGTAAGTCTGTATCGGTACCATCAACTTCATCAGCATAGGGTAAGTCTGTACCGGTACCATCAACTGTCTCAGCATAGGGTGAGTCTGCACTGGTACCACAAACTGTCACAAAATCATCAGCTGCATGCTGTTTGTTACCTTAAGTTGTAATGTATATCTTACTGTATGCAACTGCATCAGCATAGGGTAAGTCTGTACCGGCATCATCAACTGCATCAGCATTAGGTAAGTCTGTACCGGTACCATCAACTGCATCAGCATAAGGTAAGTCTGTACCGGTACCATCAACTGCATCAGCATCGGGTAAGTCTGTACCGGTACCACCAACTGTGTCAGCATAAGGTATGTCTTTACAGGTATCGCCAACTGCATCACCATAGGGTAAAGGGTAAAGGTAAAGGCATATTTGCTAGCCAAGGGTTTCTCATAGCTCATGAGGAGAGCAGCGTACATGTATCAGAAACCCTTGATAAGCCAAGATGAGGGGGAGAGACAGAGGTGTTCGATCTTAGGTACCTGTATGTTAACTAACATGTGTCAAATAAACAGCTAGAAAAAAAAATACTTGTAAAATATTTTTCTGTGAGGACTCTCAAATAATCTCATGAAAATATGACAAAATTGCACTGGGAAAGGGGTGGGATAACATTTTTCATAGGATTTTACAAAATGAAAATGTATTGAATGCATGTTTTATCATTATAGAACAATCGTCGGACCCATAGTTGGTGGAGTGGTTCTCATAATTAGCTGCATCGTCTGCTGTATTTGTTACCGTAAGTTTCGTTGTCTGTTGTTACCTTAAGTTGTTATGTATATCTTACTGTATGTAACAACGGTTGTTTGCTGTAAATGATAAGACAGAATTGCTGTTTACAAGTATGTTATCTTACGCATGAACCTCTGCTGTGGAAAATGGTACAAGTACAAGTACTTGGTACTTGGTACATGTACAAGTAAGAAAAGTATAAAGTAGGGATGTCAACTCTTAACCGATTAATCGGTCGGAACGATGCTAATCGGTTAGAAAATCGCCAATCGGTTAGTTGGAAAAATATAAAATTCTTGCAAATTTAAACGTAATTTCCTTAAAATTCCTTCCTTTTTAAAGAAAGGAAACCTTTGCATAGATGTTTTTTAGTGTTTTTACCCATCCTATAATTAAGAATATTTGGAGGTAATTATAGCTCTTAAGATTGAGACCATAGGGGTAATTGGTCAATTTATAAAGTGTTAATTACTAATTTTAAAACATTTTAAAATTTACATTACAGGCGTTTACATGTAATTATGATATTTCTATATTTTGCCTTATCTTATAAATTAAAGTATTTGAAAGAAAGTTACATAAACCGTAAATAAAGCGAGAGTTCCGACATAGATATGATTATGGTACCTTCTTTCACATCAGCTGCCTTTAAAAAATTACCTCTGTCTGATTTCTGAAGCAAGATTCACGGTTTTCATAATTTTTTCTTGTCTAATGAAATTAAATGAAATATACACTTTTGTACATATAAAATTCCCCAATAAAAATAATAAACAGAGTGTAACTTCTATTGTCTTTTTTTGCCTTTTGTGTATATGAAAAGAAAATATCAACATGTATATCTTGATACGACTAACCGGTTAATCGGTCGGAACGTTTTACGGTTAACCGATTAGCAATTTAGCAATCGATTGTCATCCCTAGACTATAAAGGTCGGCTAAAGAGTAGACAAATATATACTTATCTTATTACTTTAAATCAGAAAAAAATGTTTGATATACTTATCTTATTACTTTAAATCAGAAAAAAATGTTTGTTTTAAACATTCAAATCAAATCTTATTTTTTCCATTCAATAATTTAAATTTTTAGTCTATGTTTTAAATTTTCCAGACTTTAATTTCAGACAAAATTACGTCGACAATCTATATATATTGGCTAATTCTTGTATTATAATGAATGACTTTTTATTCGGTCATCAAAATTCTTGTAAATGAGAGGTAACTTCCTTTTAATCATTGATTAAGTGGTCACATAAATTTATTACTTGTAGGCAGACGAAGGAGACAGGTGCCACCACCAATGGTTACCTACGGACAACAACAACAGACTGGACAACAAACCTATGGACCACCTCCCAGTTACGGACAACAACAGCAACACGGACAAGGTTACGGACAACCGCAACAATATGGACAAGGTTACGGACAACCACAAGGTTATGGTTCACCTGTTGAATTTTCTCAGAATACAACAGAGAAAAGTCAAACAAAGTAAACTTTGTAAGAAAAAAATTATACAAACGTCCCTTTAAAAAAATGGAGTAAATTTTAGTGTTCAAGGAATAAGAGATCTCGAACAAACTGGTGACTTATTTCCCATTTGAGAGTTGGTTACGATTTCGAAGAACAAATATGTGTCGACTTTGTCGCCATTGAATGGCTGTGTTATCATTGACGATGTAATGTTTGTAAATGTTGTCTAATTATTCAAATGTTATATGACTTAAAATATTTGATTACATGTATTAATTGATATTCATTTTTTGTCATTTTTTGCACATAATATTAAAGCATTTCAGGTTTTGTCTGAAGTTGTCTTTTGTATATTAGCGATGAGAAATTTCTGTAGCCTTTCTATTTAACATTGATTTCCTTGAAGTCAAATGTATTTTAAATGTATGCTCTTGATGTCAGACTGTTTGATAATTTTTGTCAGTTTAATTACTTAGTTCATTTGTATCAAATGACACGCTTTTATTCTGATTTTATACTGAATAAATGCATTCCATTATTCATCTCTAGATTTAAAATTCATTTTTGTAAACTGAAACTGAAAAATTTTTTATGATCTAAATCCCATATTAAGATCAGCCAATCAACATCATAATGAGAGAAGTTAGACGAGAATAAGTACATTATGAGGACCAATTAATAAATGATGCGATATATCATTTAAAAATTAGAAAAGGTACAAAATGCATATTCTTTTTAGTTTCTATTCCCCTGTTATCTTTTGCGAGTACCTCTGGTCTCTGTATACTGGAACAGAAAACATCAGCATTCTCATCTTTAATGATGCCCCTAGTGACTTTTGAGCTTAATTACAGTTCGTTATCTCCATATTTCATTATAATAATTTCTCATTTATTATTCATTTGAGGGTTAGGAATTATAGATTTTATTTGATTGTCCGATTCTGTCACAGTCTTATTCCATCCATGCACGATTGCCATTTTTCTTTGGAGGCAAATGCAAGAAAGATCATGCTTATAGTAAATAAAATGCTGCCCACTATTAGATTTCTTTACATCATTAAGGAAAAAACAAAGCAGGTGAAACATGTGTCCCTTTGATTATGCTACTTATATTGCAGGTATCTTAAATTAAGTTAAAAAATGTATCTGTGATAAAGCTGACTTCTAAAAAATATTTCTGAGATAACTTAATAACAAGAAAGAATCACTTAAACAATTAAGTGTTCATATCATGTTTTAAAAATAAATATAGAAATCACGATTATGCAATTAAGGCAGGCCAAGTGGTTGCTTAAACGGTTTAATGACTTGCATTTTGAAGTGTTTAAAATATATCTTCATTGTGTTTATCAGTAGTATGATTCATTTTTTTATTTTCACAAAACAAATTGTTTACATGTATTGAAAAGAAGTGGGTTAAGGAGATAACGAACAGTATTCAATCTCAAAGTCTACAAAACAATACAAAACAAGAGCAGAGCAAACACGGACCTCCGAAACATCTGAGAATTATGAAATAATTAGCATCCCCTGCTGACTGATCACACCCGCCGTGTGCTCATTGTCATGATCGTTATATAACAGAAAAATATCCATCGTCAAATCATTGTAAAAATAATGGACTAACAATTGGTATGAAAAAACGTCAGTCAGCATATGACTCAATGATAAATTGTATTTGCTGACAAGGTCATTGTATTGACCATAAAACGTACGAAATGATTACTTTAAACGAGACTGCTGATATCCTTGTTTCATCAACTTGCTTGTCAATAAGTTACCTCGTTTCAGAAATTGTTCATACGTAAAAAATGATCTTGCGTATCGATTCAACTGAGATATATACACTCCGTATGCAGGTGATGAAGGTTTTATTGCTGCATAAGTAAGGGAAGTTGACGATAGAAAAGTTAAAGTCGTTACGTTTATCATATAACTTGGTTGTTAGGTTACCATTAACGTCTTTTTAAAGTAAATGTCCAAGTATGAAAGAGATGTGTCAGATTTTGTGGCATATCTTATCTCATGAATATATCGTGTCGACGTTTGAAAGGAAATTACCGTTGTTAATTGACAATACGTCTTCGATATATCTAAATGTCGAGTTGAAGGCCACAGCAAGTATTTTCTTCTTTTCACGCATAAAATTTTGCATAAATTCTGCTTCTTATGAATACTAAGATAGGTCTGCTTTTAACGGAGTGCATTTGGTCCCCATGGAAATTCAAATAGATTGTTGGAAGAACTGGTTTCCAAAACCATTTAGATATCGTGAATCAGAAACTCAAGTATCTTCTTGATGTCAACTTCAGAGTACTTGTGTGTGCATTCAAACTCTTTTTAACGCAATTGTTATGCAAATGACAAACGACCAGGTAAGTAAATTTACGAGTTCCATTTTTATTGAAAAAGCATCTGTCAACGACATCAAAAACCCTGGATTTTAAATTCTTGTGGGGGATGGTTATGTATAAAGTTGAAAAGTCGTATGTTTTTTAATATAAATGTAAATATAATGAATAACTGTAAGATTTTTCGATTTCATGACGATGATCAATTATTGATTGGCTTGCGTGATAATTTTATGCATAAAGGCCTTAATTATAAAAATTATTACGAAAGCCAATCGATTGATTGCATCATGAAATCGAAAAATACTGGTAAGTTATTTTTAAAGAAATAATTTTCCAAACATATCCAAAACGTTTACGTCTTATGGGGTTTCTATCCCAATCCTATGAAGACTTAGCATGCTGTTAATTGCCTGTTGGGCTTAAGAGGACTGATAAAATTGCTAGAATTTAAGTACAATGTATATCAGGTTGAAATTACATGTATTGTCACCATTTGTCAGTTCATATAGTAAATTTACAGGTTCTTAACCACTTTGAGTACTCGAAATCTTCGCTATAATACTCGAGAGAAAAAAAGGTAATTGAGAAGTAGAAGAGGATAATTGAGAAGTAAAAGAGGATAATTGAGAAGTAGAAGAGGATAATTAAAAAAGAAGAAGAGGAAGTGTACTACAGACTAGATTTCCATTCGAAGTACATGCATGTTCAACAGGCAAAAGACATCCAGCAAGTCCATACTTCAAAGCGTTTAGTCAGCCATCGAAACATTATTTGTCAGCAAAAAGACCGGTCGACCAGATTTATTATCTCAGCATCTTTTTACAGATACTAGCGATCAAGAAAGTAGCAAATATATTTCATCAGAGAAGATGGAAGATCGAAATTATCAGGTAGCAAAACGATTTTTGTTCCGAAACTAAAAATTGAAGAAACTATCGATATTTTTATTCCGGGAAATAGTATATTGTGGACAATTAATTCATGTCTAGAAAAGGCATCATCTGTTCATTTTATATACTAAAAGGGCTGAGAACTGAAAACAGTTTGCCGTCTCGTAATACTTTGTATTATCTGATTGACATCGCGGGTAAACATATCATTCACAATTTGTTTAAAACCCTTGGAAATCTTATGATTATTCTTACTAAGAACATTGTATGATATTTTTTTATGTTCAATAAATTTGAATTCGAAAAAAGGAAAGGATTATAAAAAAGCGTTGGCTTCCTGATCGGAATGTCGTGAGTTTGAATCTCTGCCAAGATTGACCATTTTTCATACTGTTCCTTTGCTATGCACTCGGAACTTTGAATAAAAAGTTGCGGATCCTTTAGATGATACCTTAAAAACCAAGGCCCCGTATGACGACAGGCGTTGGTACAATAAAGAATTCTCATTCCTCAATAACCTGAGTACCAAGTAAAGTTAAAAATTTGAACCCCTTCAACGGTATATGCCGAAGTCTCTATATGACTGAACATTATTCTCAAATGGTACGTACAAGAACAAGCACAACGTACAATCGATCAATCATTTTGAGGAACATAAACGTTGCGTATCAATTTCGGATAGATAATCACAGGTAACATATATATTTACCCTATTGGAGAACACCAAACACGCAACGAACGAACTATCTCGACGATATTAACGGTATTACTAGTTTTTGAATATCATCACTCGCTTTATATTTTTTGTAATTATTTCAAAGGCGGATCTAGCACTGGCGCGCCGGGCTTGCGTCCCCTCCCCATTTGATTTTCTTTAAATTTTGTTTGTATTATCTTCAAATCAACAGCAAAACACCTCTAATCTATTATAGAGTTCCTCAGTTTCCGGGGTCTTCGCCCTTGGATCCCCATCAAGGCTTTGTCTCGGACCCACTGGGAGCTTTAATGCAGCCCCCAGACTTCCAAGTCTTCTACTGGCCCCCCCCCCCACGTTTTGAAATTCCTGGATCCGCTGCTGAATAAATATTTAGACGGTTAAACTGCTAGTACATATTTCTTCACTTCATATTAAGATATGAACGACCAATATCGGGTTATATGGTAGCATAATTATGCCACCATACGGTTATTATATTTATGTCGGATTCCCTTATATCGACACCCTAGATTGGAAGTTGCGTCTATTGATAAATTGTTCTCAGCATTTGCATAGCGTCGCATTGATAATTGTTCAAACTATAAATATAGCACGCCAAATTCTCAAAAATGAGCTTAACATAGTTTCACACTTGATAAACTAGATTTATCAACTGTAAACTATAGTTTAAAAACCGTAAACTATAATTAACAATTGGTTAATTTTCATTTATCATTATCATAAGTTAATTAAAGGAATCAATAAAAACACACCTGAACATATGCATATATTTATATCATACTGGTACATGCCACTACATGGAACACCAAACTGATTATACATGTACTTATCAAATTGACAAATCATTTAAATTTTTCTATACGTGCGATTCGTCCGTACGTTTCGACAGTTACATAGGTAATCACAATGTAAACAACTTTACCGTTCGTTAAACCGATATCAGTTCGTTACGTGTTTGGTGTTCTCTATTACGTTTTTTCATCGGGCCAATTTTTCGAGTTTTGAGAAAAATTATTAATATGTAGGGATTTGATTTCGTGGTTAAAGTAGCGTTGAATAAAAATGCATGTTAAATTTGACACTTTGTGGTGGTCATTTATTTGTGGGCCTCTCCTCGAAAACAATGAAAACTTAGCTCCAATTAAAGTTTTCATAGTTTTGATTTACTTATCTAAAAACTGATATATGATCTACATTTACATAGTTAGGATAGAGGGAGAAAGAGAGAGATAGTATTAGAAACTTAACAGATTGAAAAGTTGTGAAATCATTATCATTAGCATATAAATATAATATAGTGAAACAAGCAATTTATATATATATGTTGCGCT